TATTCTCCCTCTCTCCTCCTTCGTCTGTGAATGATTCTCACCTCATTCTATCATCACACACATTTGCGATTGTTTGTCATTCATCAGCAGATCGATAATCATATGGACTGGTAATGTTGACGAGTATCATCACRTCTGGGCTCATTGCAATTTGGTATCAGAGCAGATCTTCCGATAGTGTAACAGAGACGACAACGACAATTGGTGGCATCTACATTGAAGTGGCTGACGTGGACAAGAGAGCGCACGTCAGATTCTGACGTGGCATTAACGAGCCATTGACGTGGCCTTGGTATACATGCTCGATGCTGACATGGCATTGAGGTGGCATTGACGTTGCCTTGGTCCACATGTCCGATGCTGACGTGGCATTGACGTGGCATTGATAATAGTGCACGTGGCATTGATATTTGGAGTGTGCAGTATCGCTGACATGGCCGGTGGATGTTAGCGGATTGACGATGTGGCATTGCTGACTCACCATATGGTGAGATAAGAGGCTGAAGTGGCAGTGTCATATTCCGCTACCTGGCTTACGTGGCGCGTTGGTACTGCTCCTGACGTGTATTCCCTCGATGATGCTGACTGGACCTTGGTGCTGACCTGGCCGACAGAAGTGCTGCTGTGTTGGCACTCCAGGGGATACACGTGGCAGGATGGAACTTCGACTTCGGGGCAGGCTGGTACTTCGATTTCAGCATACATTGTTGACGTGCACCCCATTGATGATATTGATTAGACCTGCTGACCTGGCATACTCATCGAGTTGCTGAGTTGGCAGGCCAGGGGTGACATGTGGCAGGCACGATCGTGCCTAAGTGAGGACAGCATTCTGATGACTGAAGCGGCACGGCAAGAAGACTGACGTGGCTGTGGTGCCGAACGTCAGATTGTGTGCTGGTCACATAGGACAAAGAAGGACGAAACAGCAAGAAGGGGAAAACGCTAACTATTGATTGATTTTTGTTGGCAGACTTACCTGTTGTCTGGCTGTGTTGTGTACCTGTGTACTCACTTGTGTTTGTTGTTGATCATGCTGGCCTGGAGTTGCGGTACCTGAGATAGACTAGGATGTCATCACATTGAAAACAGAACAGCAAATAGAAATTAGAAAACTTATGTTCCTTATTATTATTATTCTTTTTTACTCAGACAGAGTGTTGAGACAGGTGACCGTGAAATTATTGTCTCTTGCGGTAGAACAGTGCGCTGATTGTTTATTTTGCGGTAGGATAATCTGGCCAACGAATTTTCCTGTTTTTGTTCTCCCAAAATGTCTTACTTCTGGAAATCTTTGCAACAGTCTATCTTGACGAGATTTGTGACCACTTTCTTGTTCCCTATTCCAATTGCACTTTCCGTTGGGGAAGGACCGTCTGAACCGAGGACAAGGGGACAGGCTGATATGAAGAGAGAAGAACTGTTGGCTTTGTGGAGTCAGTTTCTGATAGAGGTACAACTGTCTGGACCGGATGCTGAGCAACACATCCGTGATAATTTTGATCTTCAGGACGTTGAAGACCGCCTGAAGAAGTCTATCACGACTGTGGAGGTTGTGGCAGCCGGCACAGAGGCCTCCAAACTGATTGCACAGGGGCGACAGACTCTAGACCAGCTTGCTTTGAAGCAACTGGAAGAGGTTATGGAAGCTACTCGTAAAGGGGAGGTGAAACCAGAAGTAAGTGAGGAAACGATTGATGCTAACATCCAGCAGCTCAGAGATACTCTGGCTGCCGAAGAAAGAAAGAAGGAAGAATTAGTCAGAAGAAGAGAACAGGAACAGCGAAGGGGACAAAAGGTTAAGGAGATCAGACAAGTCATAGGAACAGAAGTCGGTGAACAGACTGACATGTCACAAACGTTGGCTAATATTGTGACATATCTTACCTTTCTAGAGGAGAAGATTGATAGACAGCAAAATCAGTTGGATGAAATCACTGTTGGATTGAGAACAATTGCTAATATTGTGAAAGGTAAGAATCAGATTCAGGGAGAAGAAGAACAAGAAGAGAAGAAGGAGAAGAAAAAAGTAAAGAAGTTGATTTTGGTTGCAATGAAGTTTGCTGATCCCGTGATAAAGACAAATGAAAATGGAAATGGATCCAATGGAAATGGATCAAGTCAGCCATCCACTCCTCACTCTTCTCATTCTTCTAAGTCTACTCCTAAAGAAACTCCAGAAAAGACAAGCGCTGAACCCGAAAAACCGAAGGAGAAAGAAAAGGTGAAGATGAAGTTGCCGTTTACGTTTTGCAACAAGAAAGAAGAAGGTCTGTTGCTGTGGATTGCAGAAATCCAGACGTATATGAGTACCGCACCGGTCGAGACGGAGTCCCAAGTCGCATTCACCACTTCTTGCATGGGTGGTGAGGCCAATGCGGCGGGTTTCGAAGATATCGGTGAGTGGGCAAAGACATTGACGCTGAAACAATTCTTGGCGAAAACCAGGGACCGTTTCCTCGACAAGACGACGGCCGACAAGGCCTTTGACCAGTTGACGTCAATTGGTCAAAAGCATTGGACGTCAGTTGAGGCTTTGTCCCGAGAAGTTGACCGATTGTTGCAGGTTCCTAGGTTTAACTTGCAAGACAACCAAGTGTTGTACATCTATTCCCGTGCGTTGCCTGAGCCCATCCGGGGACACTTAGTCACTGAAGCAAAATCCGGTAAGTACAACTACAGGCAATTTCGTGACCTTGCCCTGCAAAGGGAACAGATGACTTCTCAAGTCAAGAATTCCTATGCAGCGGTAGTCAAGTYTGRAGGAGSAGGAGRAAGACAGTACAATGGGAAACRARTTCTYTGGCGACAGAAGCGCCAKGACCACACCCTTGTCGTCTTTGATGACGACACAGTGGAAAAGTGGCCTAACGAGGAGAATGATAACAACAGTAACTCCGGGAAGGGGGAAGTCACTGCTGTTGTGGCCAATAAGGGAGGACCACCCAGGACAGGAGGGAAGAAACAAAGAGCGTTTCCATGACACCCTGGCATTGCTGATGGGAAGCCATGGGTYGAAATRGGTATGACTAGAAARACTTGGCAGGAGCGCATGGACAATGCGCAATGTCTCAAGTGCGGCACAACGGGACATGTGATCGCCTACTGCCCTCAGATCCGGAACCCAAAAGCAAACAGCCAGTAGGAGTAGCATCTGCTCCTACTGAGATTAAGGGTAAGAACGAACAGACAGGTAAGACGCCTATGACCCTTTCCTACCCTTCTTCTCAATTGGCAGAGGATGATTCTTCCTTAGCCCATCATCCAGACTGCCCTGATATTGTCTTATGTTCTGTTTCTCTGGATGACTCCCTTGATGGGCTAGGTAACGAATTGCTAGCATTACGTGGCTCATGGGCTCGAAAGGCGAAGACTAAGGGCGAGTTGTTGTTTGCGGATGTTGAGATCGCACGAACATGAGTTGGTGCGATGTTAGACCCAGGATCAACGAGATCCTACATCTCCGAGAAGGCAATCCGTAAGTTGCATCTCGGCATGAAGGTACCTTTTGATATCATTCTGGGTATGGATTGGCACGAAGAAGCCAACCCGGACATTGATTTAAAAAACAAGATTTTGCAACTCAAAGATGCGCAATCAGAAATGAAACCAATTAAATTATATCGCAAGTCTGGCTCTGACTCAAGTCTATCCTTTTGCTGTATGAGTTATCCAGCTTTCCGTTCGATGGTTTCTAAGAAAAAGTTGGAACAGGAAGTCATGTTGGTACTGGTAAAGAAAGCCGGTGAGTCTTCTTCTTCCTGTCCTCCGACGATTGAAAGTCTTCTCTCCGAATATAAGGATCTGCAGAAAGAACCCACCGGAATTACTGAACGTACTATAAAGCATACTATTGAGATTATTCCGGGCAGTAAAATTCCCAAGGGCCCTATCTATCGAATGTCTTCCAGGGAACTTGAGGAGTTAAAGAAGCAACTGCAGGACCTTACTAACAAGGGATGGATTCGCCCTAGTTCATCTCCTTATGGAGCACCTGTCTTGTTTGTGCCCAAAAAGGAAGGTGAATTACGTCTATGTATTGACTATTGAGGGTTGAATGTCGTCACTGTCAAGAATGTCGAACCACTCCCTCGCATCGACGATTTACTTGACCAACTACAGGGATGCAAGTACTTCAGTAAAATTGATCTGAAGTCTGGGTACCATCAGATCGAGGTGGAGCCCGCGGATCAACACAAGACTGCTTTCCGGACCAGGTATGGCCATTACGAGTTTATGGTAATGCCCTTCGGATTGACTAATGCTCCTGCTACATTCCAACGGTCAATGAACGAGTTATTTCGTCAATGGTTGGACCAGTTCGTCATCGTCTATCTGGATGACATTCTCGTATATAGCAAAACATTAGAAGAACACGAGAAGCATCTTTGTCTGGTTTTGAGTAAGTTGCGAGAAGGCAACTTCAAAATCAACCCGAAGTAAAAGTGGGTTGTTGTCTTCTTCTCTCTCCTTTGTCTATTCTCCCTCTCTCCTCCTTCGTCTGTGAATGATTCTCACCTCATTCTATCATCACACACATTTGCGANTTCTTCTCTCTCCTTTGTCTATTCTCCCTCTCTCCTCCTTCGTCTGTGAATGATTCTCACCTCATTCTATCATCACACACATTTGCGATTGTTTGCCATTCATCAGCAGATCGATAATCATATGGACTGGTAATGTTGACGAGTATCATCACGTCTGGGCTCATTGCAGATTGGTTGATTGATTGCTTTGATTGATTGGTTGACTGATTGATCAATTCAATCAGTCAATCAATCAATAGATCCATCCACGTCAGCGGGAGCGGGAAGGCAACAGGAGCGGGCAGCTGGTGGGAGAGGGGGAGCCAGTTGGAGAGGGGGGAGAGGGAGAGCAAGTTCGAGTGTGTGTATGTGTGTGTCTGTCTACGTGCGTCTGTGTGTGTGTCCGTGCGTGTATGCATGTGTGTGCGTGCGTGCATGTGTGTGTGTGTGGGTGTGTGTACGTGTGTGCGTGTGTGTGTCTATGTGTGTGTGTGAGTGTGTGTGTCTGCGTGTGTCTGTGAGTGTGTGTGTGCGTGTGCGTGTGTCTCTGTGCATGTTTGTGTTTCTCCACGTATCCGTGTGTGTGCGTGCGTGTGTGTACGGAGAGGGGGGGGGGAGGCGACTCCCCCAAACCAATCAATCAATCAATTAATCAATCAATTCGTCCTTTTCTTGCGTGTACTGTTTTTTTCTTTTTTATGTTTTTTTAATCAATCGATCAAACAAAACCGACACAGTCTGTTTCAACTCCTCGACACGCTATTTTGGGTTTAGTCTCTATTCAGTCAATGTCACTCTCTGTTTGACTGTCTTTCCACTCTCTTTTGCTCTGCAACCTGCAGCCTCCAAGTCCATCTGAGTGCGTCTCATTCCCGACCTCTTCTCAGTGTTCTCAGAGATCTCTTTTCCTCTGCCTCCCCCGGCTTCCGCCTCCATCTACGTGTCTATGATTCTCAACATCTTTTCAGTGTACTCAACTCTTTCTCTGTGAGTCTCCTTTCGGTCTGTCTGTTTCCCCGCCCCTTCCTTGCCGCGGCACCGCTGCGGCGGGTCCCCTTGTATATTTCTAAGTCCATAAGGGGATGCAGGGCAGAAGGCAACTTACCTAAGACAGAAGACTACTCCAGCAAGAAGTCACTGACCCGAACCCCTCAAAGGTCCGAAAAAACATGGAGATGCAATTAGACTCGCTCTCATTCACACTTCGCATGCATGCAAACAGGTGCACAGCAAACTGGCGACAAGCGCCCACTCAAAACTCAGAGATATGGTAGCCAAGCACACAGTTCAAATACCAGTTCACTTCAATGGCTATGGCGACTCAGCGCCCACACAACTCTTTGTTCGCATACACAGGATCACCCTGAATATCCCACACGTGATACTCTGTACACACACACACACACTCACACTGCACACTATCTACAGCTACAGCGGCTATGGCCGCTACTACCCTATCGCTATGGCTAAGCTCCTTCTCTCTCGCCCACTTCGTCCTCAGGCTCACTACAGACCACCTCGCACAAGTCGCTATGACAGCGCGTCCGCATGGCTCACGCAGGAATGACTAAATGGCTGGGCGCTGCCCTTTGATTTATACTTCTGCCGCTCGTTGGTCTGGCCCTTTCCCATGCCTGTAGTGCACACAGTCCCATGCGGTACTTGCTTGACTGAACCAGGACTGACTGGGACTGGAACTGTTGACTCAGCACGGGTAGACTCCACCACTTGCCCACTTGCGTCACCACTTGCCCACTTGCCTCAGCTTAAACATGGGCAACTTCGAAAGGCCACTACTTGGACCTTCCGGAAGGCCGTAGACTTGGCCTTTTGATATTGTAGCAGGTACGACCTTGACCTTTCTGGACTGTAGCAGCTACGACCTTGACCCTTCGAGAAAGCTACAGCTACGACTTCTAGACCTGACCGAGACTCCTACTCAACAGGTCTACAGATCGAACCCCTGCTACCTATGGACCCTACGACAGCCTACCAACTGTTACAAATACACAGGTCACGGGTTCAACTCTAGGGGTCGACACAGATACTGTACACAGGTAAGGTGGGGACTAGGGATCGAGCCCTGGGATCTGCATCGGCTCTGCAAACTGGTGAATACCGTTTCACTCCCGCTGGCCTAAATTTGAGGTCCTCCGAGAATAACTCAGTCCAAGGCAGGACCTTTCCCTTTCTTATCTCTCTCGTAAGCTCTAACTATGTCGGGAGCGGTCTCTAAAAGTTCTACTCTAGTGAACCAGCGGTCGTCCTCCAGTTCCTGATAAGCAAACCGGACCTTATACTGCTTCTGCGGACGGCCTCTACCTCCTGTTCTGAACATATCTTCACCCACAATGCCGTCAATGTCGTATCTGCCGTCCATGTCTGGGGGGAGCATGGACCTCCTAGATGGAACTGTTGACTTGTGACACACGACAGCAACTTTGATGCATGAAAAACAGGGTAGGTGTGGAGGTGTGATGGAATCTTTATGGTGTAGGACGGTCCATCCTCTCCGCCCTTAACTTCTAGAACTGGCCACGGTCCTCTATACGCGGGCAGTAACTTTTGCGAGATGTTCTCCTCAGGCGCAAACTCTTTAGACTTGACCCAGACCAGGTCGCCTACCTGAAATTGCGATGGGCGATGGTGCTTATTAGCCTGTTCTATCATTCGGTGCTGGGCCTTCCCGAGGTCCTCAACAACAGTGGTTATTTTTTTCTCGTGCTGTATCGCGAACTCCCTAGTACCGGGCGGTAGCCTGTGAACCTGATCCCGGTTAAGTCCCTCAAACGGTCTACGCGGTCTAAAGGACTTGTGCAACTCGTTGGGAGTGCGACAGGTGGACAAATGCACGCTGTTATTGTATGCACTGGCTACCTTGGGTAACATCTCGTCCCAATCAATCTGATCCGGTCTAATATACATGCGCAGAACTTGCTGGAGGATCTTGTTCATCTACTTGGTCTGACCGTTAGTCTCTGGATGGCGGCTAGACGACATCGGCAACTTTGACCTATAGACTTTCATCAGCTCCTGCCAGTTCTGACTCGTAAAGCGGCTATCTCTATCGCTGACTATAGACAATGGGACTGCATGCTCACTAACCCAAAAATCAAAGAACTTATGTATGACTAACTTTGCACGTGCCTCTGCAGGTAGAGGAACAAAAACAACATACTTGCTAAATCTATCGACTATAACCATAACTTGGCTCTTGTCGTACCTACTCTTGACCTGCGTATCCATAAAGTCAATGGACACAGAATCTCCGGGCTGGTCAGGAATAGGCAAGGGTCTGACAAGACCTAGAGGGGCACGCGTAGTGCTCTTATTTCTTTGGCAAACTTTACAACTGCGGACGTACTCTATGCAGTCGTTCTTCATTCCTGGCCACGTATACGCATACATCAGATTGGCTAAAGTCTTTTGCCAACCGAAGTGTCCCTCTGTGTCGTGGCGTTCCCCTAGGATCAGACTACGGATCTCTTCACTGTTAGGAACGCACAAACGGTCTACGACATTAGTCTTCTCAAACAACAAACCCTCTATAGTGCGGTAATCTGGTTCGGTCTCTGGGGCCTCCTTAACTTTCTTGAGGAGGTCACTATAAATAGGGTATTGCGCATAAGCCTGTCTAACTTTCTCTTGCAGGTCACTCCCTATGTCTAGATAGTGAACTATGGCTCCAAAGTAGTTTGATCTCCTACTCAGAGCATCCGCAACTACATTGTATTTGCCCTTAACCAGCTTGAGCTCAAAGTCGTATTGGTCTATCTCGGCGGCCCACCTAGTCAACTTAGGTGTCATTTTGGCCTGTGTCTTCAGCCATCTAAGCAGTTCGTGGTCTGAATACACCTTGAAGTGCCTCCCAAGAGGGTAATGCTTCCAGTGCTCTAAAACCTGCCTGAGAGCGTAGAGTTCCCTTTCAGACGTAGAGGTAGCAACCTTCTTTGAGGGCATCCTCGCTGACATGAACTCTACGGGTCTATAGCCATTGCCGTCGTCCTGCTGTAACACGGCTCCTATCCCATACTGACTCGCGTCCATGGTGGCGACAAATGGCAAGGACGGATCTGCTACTTTGAGGATATGGTACTCTATCAACGCGCGCTTCAACTTCTTTAGCGCAGACGTACAGTCCTTATCCCACTGCCAGATTGCCTCTTTTTTAAGCAATCTGCAGAGGGGTGCGGCGATAGTCGAGAAGTTCCTCACGAACTTCCTATAGTAGTTAGTTAGGCCTAAGAACGATCGCAACTCTGTCAACGTGAGGGGCGTCGGCCAGTCTCTAATCGCCACTATCTTGCTGTCCTCTGGCTTAATGCCATCTCCGTCTAACACGTGGCCTAAGTACAAGACTTGTGTCTTGGCCCACTCGCACTTCTTCACGTTGATCTTGAAGTTAGCCTCTCTGAGCTTCTCCAAGACCTGCCTCAAATGACCCTGATGTTCGTGGAGGGTCCTACTGAATACTAGGATGTCGTCTAAGTAAACTACGATGAATCTATCCAACCAAGGCCTAAACAAATCATTCATACATCGCTGAAATGTAGTTGGCGCATTGGTCAGTCCAAAGGGCATAACTATGAACTCATAATGCCCATATCTAGTCCGGAACACAGTCTTGTAATGGTCATCAGGATGGACCTCTATCTGAAGATACCCGGACTTCAAGTCTATCTTTGAGAAATACCTGCAACCGTGCACCCGATCTAAGAGATCGTCTATCCTGGGCAGTGGTTCAACATTCTTAACTGTAATCGCATTCAGACCCCTATAGTCTATGCACATACGTATCCCTCCTTCCTTCTTGGGGACAAACAAAACTGGTGCTCCAAAAGGAGACGAACTGGGCCTAATCCAACCTTTCTCCAGGAGCTCGTCCAACTACTTGCGCAGCTCCTCCTCTAACTCTCTAGGAGACATCATGTAGACTGCTCCCTTAGGAGTTCTACTGCCAGGCTCTATCTCTATCCTGTGCTGGATCGGCCGCGACACTACTCTTGTTGGCGGCTCTTTTAGATCTTTAAACTCTTCCAACAGCTTGGCAATGGTTGGATCCATGGAACTATCCTCTTCCTTAGGCTCAGTGACAGGTCTCACATACACTACAAAGACCTGGTCTTCTAACTGCTCCTTTCTTACTAGTCGCGCAAATGCGGGAGCACTGAGACAACAATGTGCCAGCGAGTTGTCTACTCCTGACACATGAAACAACCGGGCTGTCTTAACCTCGCCTGACGGACTAGGGAGCCTACACTCATGCTCTCTCAAGTGGAGTGTGGCCCCTGCTGTCTCTCCCCAGTCCATACCTAGGACTATATCAAAAGGAAGGTCATCCTGAACGAGGAGAGTCAGGGAATGGAGAACTTTCTCCACCTGCCCATCTTTCTCTAGGCGAAAATACGCCTGGACTCCCTCTACGTAGTCCTCAACATGCATCGTGCGGTTGTCTGCGAGGACACTAACTATGGGGTCTTCTAACTTTTGGACTTTCAATCCTAGCCTCAGCTTCTTCAACGCTCTACGACTAATATAACTATGCGTGGCCCCTGAATCTATAAGGGCCCCAACTCTACTCCTGAAAACTTCTACATCAACTAACACTAGCTGCCCTTTACTATCTTTCTTCATCTTGGCCCAGGCATGCATCATCTCCTTCAATTCCTCTGCCACGCCTGTGAGGGACGTGCCTAGAGAGACGTTGACACAAGCAGTCTCTGGACAGCTAACTAGGCACGGGCCTGCAACCTCTGCCGAAGGCTCATGTGGTGTGGGAGTTTCCTGTACGTGCGCGCTCGCTTCCCCACATGGCCTAATTGTAGGGGCAGTTGCAACCCCTACCGGCGGCTGCCTTTTGACTCCTGGGCAGCCCATTGGGCCTGTTTATACTTAGGACAATAGTTTATGATATGGGCAGGGTCACCACAGTAAATGCACTGCCCCTGCTCCATGCGCTGTTGCCACACTTTCTGGTCCAGGCCCAGATCTTCCCAGAGTCGGCCTTGTGGCCAACCTGGGTGCCAACCTCCTGACCTTTGAGGTGACCTACCACCTCGTCGCTGTGGGGACCGACTGGGACCTTGACCCCTACCTCCCGCTTGACGGTTCCCTTGACCGCCAAACCCCTGTGAGCCCGATCCTCGGCCTCCCATGGCCTGGCCCCTTCTGCCCTGGCCTCCTCCTCTACCTTGCGGCCTCCCTCCAACCACGACAGTTGCATAGGACCTCCCCTGACCCATGCTACTGTCCTCCTCCTCGAGTCCCCACTCAATCTGGCTGTAGGGGACCTCATTTGTACCACCTTCGTCTAAAGTAAGGATCAGATGATCCTTGGCCTTGACCGGGCCAGAGATGGTACGACCCTTCCACTTTTTACCCTTGTCCAAGTCCTTGTGCCAGAAAGTGGAAACTGGCATGGACTTTGCCTCGAACAAGACCACCTCTCTACTCAATGCGTCCTACGTAATGTTAGGCTGCTGGTTCTTGTCAAAGAAGTGCCCTCGTAAGGGCTCTGGCATGGCACGATAAAACAACTGGACCAATTGGGTCTCAGTGACACCATGGTCCGGGACGACTACCAAGTCGTCCATGACAGCTTTGAGTGCTCGTGCACTCCTCCACTGTCGCGAGTGGATAGTTTGGAGTTTATTGGAGGCCCGGACGCCTCTCATGACGTCAACAAACCTCTCACGCAGGAGTTTGAGGAAAGTGGAGAGAGGGGTGAGTCTAGAATACGTAATCATATTGTGCTCGCAATCGGTGGCGCGCGCTAGGGACCTGGCGAAGCTGGCTGCTTCATCCTTCAATGCATGGAAGGCAACGAGGACTTGCTCCTCGGGGGCGATATGCTGCAAATAGATGTAAGTATTGACGCTAGCCTCCTAGTTATCAAAACTATCGTCCTTCTTCCCGCTGTAAGAATCTGGGAATTTGAGCTTTACTGGCTCTTTGCGGGGACGTGATGAGGCCTCTGCTATGGCCACTACTTCGGCGCCTTCAATGGCGCCGACACAGAACTTCTCTGCGCCTTCCTTTAACTTTTTGGCTTCGGTCCCGACGTGGGTAACCACGTCGCGCGCAAACTCTCTAAAACCGGATTGCATGGCAAGCAGGGTCACATTGTGACCCTTGTTGGCCTGATGCTCCTCTAGCCAAGCCTCACTCAGGACCTCCAGGTACCCTATAATCTTATCTAATTTTGCGGGGACCTCTGTTTGTTCCTGCATCTCTGGTCTGCATGCCCGGACTTTCTCCACTTCTTTCGCCACTCGATTGGCTTCCTCCCTCCTTCTCTTCTTCTCCCTCATCATCCGCAGCTTCCACTCCAACTTCTTCGCATCCTCTGTTGTCTGACGTTCCAGGGGATCCTCTATCATCTCTAATACCCTGGCGAATGCTTCTTTCTCCTCTTGTGGCACGTACAACTGTGCCTCCTCATCCTCCCCCAACGATAGACTAGCCACCCACTCACTGATTTTTTTCTCCATCCAGGCATCTTCTCGCTTCGTGCCACTTGCTTCTCCTCTTTCTTCCCTACGCCTCCTTTCAAGAGGTTCCTCTTCTACCTCCTCTTCTTCTGCTGCTGCTTCCTCAACAGTCGTTCTCTTCTCTTCTTCCTCTCGCTGTAACATCATCATTTTTTCTTTCTGAAACCTCAACATCTCTTTTTCTAATTGCTTTTTCTTTGCCACCTGCTCTTCTGCGATAGCCTTTAACTTCGCCTGCTTGAGGAACTCTTTCTTCTCTTTTCTCTCCCTCAAAATGGCGACGATCCGGGTCTGCTCGGCCTCGGATTGGGGAACAGTACTCTTCCCACTACGGGTGTCAACCATGGTGTCTGGTGCACAACCGGATAACGGTTCCACTCCTCACCACTTAGACTGTACTCCCCCTGACTAACAAACCTACTAACTCGATCTAAGGACTTACTGAATCCGGACAGGATCCTGTCAACTAGGATCCCTAGCCTAGATGTTACATGCTGAGAGCCTACACACGGGCCCCTCACGGGACCCGAGGTTGGAATAGGGCCCCCAGGTCGCGTCACCGCAACCTGAAGGCCCTATGGCATTTTTACTTGGGCCTGCATCAGAAAAACGCCAGCTTTAGAGTATTTTTATATTCTTTTATTTATTTAATTGBTGTTGTTTTTCTAACGTGTGTGCTGTTGTCCGTTTTGTGGCCAGGTACACGTTCTAGGGCCAGGACCTGATTCAGGCCCAGAGGCTGAGCCTCCAAAAACGTTTGGACCGTTTTTTTTGTTTTCGGACAGATGTTGGACCATTCGGACCTGGACCGACGTTCAGGCCCGATGCATTCGCATAGGCCCTGAATCGGACCAGGTACCGAACAGGCCAGCCCTGGGCAGGGCCTGGACGTCCGGTAGGGACCCAGGCAGGCCGTTTTAGGCCAAGGGCTGAACCAGTTTCAAAGCCTGCGATCTGGACCGTGGATCGGATTTCGATCTGCACGGTCCAGGACGCAGGCCGTGGGTTTTCAGTCCTGGCCCAGCGCTACATAAGTTGGCCCGTTGCCCAGTTCGAAACAGAAGGTACCAGGAGAAATCCAGCGTTATGCTGGTTCAGGAACTTGGCTGCTGCGCTATTTTGGAGACTCCCTGCTGCGCTATTTCGAGACTGCAGCTGCGCTGCTCATCGGCCATGAGGCACAGCGCTGGAGGAGTCCAACGCCGAGGAGGGTAGTGGAGTTAGAGAGAGAGAGAGAGAGAGAGAGAGANAGAGAGAGAGAGAGAGAAGAGGACTTACCTGCCCAGCGCCATAGCTGGCTCCGCGGTACCTGCAAGTTCAGCCATCGCCAGGTAAGTGCAGAAAAGACCTAGCTTTCTTCTTCTTCTTCTTCTTCTTCTTCTTCTTCTTCTTCTTCTTCTTCTCCTTCTTCTTCTTCTCCACTCCTCTTCTCCTCCTACTCCTCCGAAGTTCTTCTTCTTCTTCTTCTTCTTCTCAGAGTAGAGATAGAGGTAACCGCAGACATTGTTTGGACACGGCATTCTGCCCTATTGGACACGACATTTAGGTCAGACTTGCACTCTACATTGGGATTGAACTGTGTGCGACATTCGGAGATCAGATTTGGGTTGGACTTGGTTACCTTCGTCCCTCCCCCTTCTCTCTCGCATGTCTATGGATCTCTCCCTATGTGTGTGAGCGGAAGGGCAATCTTTCTGATGTCTTGCCCTTCCGAAGTTTTCTCCTTTTCATGTTGTTGTCCACGTGTCCTTTGATACTAAATCTTCCGCTGCGCTGCTTCACAGCCCATGATGATAATGATACGAATGTGTTGTTGTTGATTTCTCATTGGGTTGCTCTTTGCATTATGCACATTGACATCTTGTGAATGCTGCACCTATGCTGCTGGTTGTTGCCACTTTCGTCATTGCTAGATCCTAGGGTGTCAGTGCATTTCACTTTGTGATATGCTACACTAGACCTACTCTAAGGTTGTCACTACAAGACCTGTTGCTGATCAGGAGGCATTTAAGGAGATCCCCCGTAACTCCTCAGGAATTATTTAACGTCGCAGACAGGACGACGCGATCAGCAGGTCTTCTCAAGACTTAGACGGGCTGTTGTGCAGCCCACAACTCGGATTTTGGGCCTACCGTGCCACACTGAGCAGCCCGCCGGTCAGTACCAGTCCTTGGGAGGGTTCGTGTCCTCCGGGACAGTCGAGTCGTCAGACACAGTCTTTAGCCCTACTCAGCCCGTGTGGGTTTGGTCAACAAGGCCCTATCCTTCATCCACAGAGTTCCTAACACCTGGACAAAAGAGACTCAATGCAGAAAGAAGAGACAGACAGACTTGACTCAACAAGTACCACAGGGTGTGTGCACATCCATAGGGCGAGGAGATAGGTTGAAGGCTTGGCGAGATTATACCGATTCCAGCTTGGTCAAACTCGTGGTCAACAGCCCTGGTCAACGCCTTGGTCAACGCTGCAGTCAACCCCCGGTCAACTCCCGGGCAACTCCCGGTCAACTCCCGGTCAACTCCCGGTCAACCCCAGTTAACGCCCAGTCAACGCCTGGTCAACTCTCCTGGTCAACGCCCGATCAGCTATGGTTGCCGGCTTCTCCTTCCTCACCACCCTTCTCCTTCCTTTCTCCCTACCTCGCCTCCTTTCTCTTCACCCCGACTGTCTTCTTCCTTTTTTTTTTTTTTTTTTTATCGTCTCTCCCTTCACCTCCTCGGCTATGGCTTCTTCCACCCTTCTCGGTCTCCCCCTCTGTCCTCTCTTTCACCCTTCTTCGTTACTCTGTGGTCGAGCTCCGCGGCTATGGCCGCCTCTTCACTTTGTGGGACTGCACGGCACACTTCATAGGTACGTGACAACCAAACTTGTATCGCTCATCTCTCTCTCTCCCTCTCTCGTCGTAGCGATGTCTTCAATGCAGGTACATAGTTAACCAATCTTGTATCACTCAACCTCTCTCTCTCTCTCTCTCTCTCTCTCTCTCTCTCTCTCTCTCTCTCTCTCTCTTCTTCTTTGTCGTGGTCTTCTCTGCAGGTGCGCGCGGCGGCTTCTTCAACCTCCGTGTCCGCTATGGCGGACTTCTTCTCCGTTGGCCACTTCGGCTATGGCGCATTATTCTCCCTGCGGCACTCGACGACGCGCGTGGAATAGCGGGTACCAGCTCTGATACCAATGCAATCAGACTCGCTCTCATTCACACTTCGCATGCATGCAAACAGGTGCGCAGCAAACTGGCGACAAACGCCCACTCAAAACTCAGAGATATGGTAGCCAAGCACACAGTTCAGATACAAGTTCACTTCGATGGCTATGGCGACTCAGCCCCCACACAACTCTTTGTTCACATACACAGGATCACCCTGGATATCCCACACGCGATACTTTGTACACACACACACACTCACACTGCACACTATCTACAGCTACGGCGGCTATGGCCGCTACTACCCTATCGCTATGGCTACGCTCCTTCTCTCTCGCCCACTTCGTCCTCGGGCTCACTGCAGACCACCTCGCACAAGTCGCTATGACAGCGCTTCCGCGTGGCTCATGCAGGAATGACTAAATGGCTGGGCGCTGCCCTTTGATTTATACTTCTGCAGCTCGTTGGTCTGGCCCTTCCCCATGCCCGTCGTGCACATAGTCCCATGCGGTACTTGCTTGACTGGACCGGGACTGACTGGGACTGGAGCTGTTGACTCAGCACGGGTAGACTCCACCACTTGCCCACTTGCCTCACCACTTGCCCACTTGCCTCAGCTTAAACCCGGGCAACTGCGAAAGGCCACTACTCGGACCTTCCGGAAGGCCATAGACTTGGCCTTTCGATACTGTAGCAGGTACGACCTTGACCTTTCTGGACTGTAGCAGCTACGACCTTGACCCTTCGAGAAAGCTACAGCTACGACTTCTAGACCTGACGGAGACTCCTACTCGACAGGTCTAAAGATCGGACCCCTGCTACCTATGGACCCTACGACAGCCTACCAATTGTTACAAATACACAGGTCGTGGGTTCAACTCTAGGGGTCGACACAGATACTGTACACAGGTAAGGTGGGGACTAGGGATCGAGCCCTGGGATCTGCATTGGCTACTGCGAACTGGTGAATACCGTTTCAGTGAGCCTTCCGCATTGGTCCAGAAAACCAAAAGTTAATTTACCAAAAACAAACAAATATAACAGCATGGGCATTCCCAATATTCATCTCAAACTATACACTTGCGTCACAGCCAACGAAGAGAAAGAAGATAAGAGACAACTTACCTAAGACAGTAGACTCCTCCAGCGAGAATGCACCGACTGCCCCTGCTAAGGGTCCGAAAAAACTGGGAAAGCCTTCCACGCCGGCGCACAAAACATGCATTCCCCCCAAAGAGAAGTTGTGGCCATCCGTAAACATCCAAACAACC